CTTGGGCCTGGCCTGGGGATTGGCAAGGTCAGTAATCACTTCTGTTATGTCCATTGAGACAGGAACTATCCAACTACCAATCTGGCCTCTGTGAAGAATGGTACCATTCCACAGAACAGGTGGGAGAAGCTGGAGATGGGGCACTCATTGGCCACACTCCTGGATCCTCTCCTCTTTCCTCCCAGTGGGAGCACAGTGCAGTGGTAGCACTTAGCACATCTTTTAGAGCAAGCCAATCATTTTTAAATGACAATTTATTTACACAGGCGAGAAGAAATAGCTTCTTGGCAACAGCATACATACCAAATGCTAATTTTCTATTTTGACTTCTTCTAGACACAATGGCAATTGGCTTGTTTGAAAGATGACAGATTATGAACTGAAGGGAGAGCAAATGAAGGGAGGAGCAAACACAAGCCTAAATCTGCTGTGCCTAACTTTACAACTTGCTGAAATACTTGAAATTGGGTTTGGACCCAAAGAGTTTTTGCAATAACCAAACCAACTTATTTTTAGCTCCAAATATGAAGAAACTATAAAATAGAAATGAAAAGCTGGACAATCCAAGAAAACAAGGAAGAGTGTGGAAACCAGTCGAGAAGGCCGAAACTCAGGCTGATTTTCAGCATCTGCAGAGTAGATGCCTCCTCCCTTTCTTGTTGCAAGGAGTTAGGAAGGGACAAGAAATGAAATCCATAAAAGGTGAATCATTGTTATTCACCAGCAATTAGCTTTGCCTATTAAAACTGCCAGGAATTACTAATATGACATTCCAAGCACCACACTGTCTAGGGAGTTAACTGGAGGTTGGCATAAAAATACTCCAGCCAAGCTTCAAAAAATAATCAAAAGCCAACATGTCTCATGCCTCCTTCTCCAGCACCACCTGGGTCCATCCCTTTTTCAGCTTTAGGTTAAAAAAATCACATATACTCTCTCTCTACCTTGGGATGAGGCTTCTTGAGATGGGAGAGCCATAGTTCTGCCCCCATCGAGTTTAACAGTGTGTGTAAGAGGTAGAAAGCAATTGCTACATTTCTGCTCTTTTCTGATCAGTGATGGTGATAATGATTTCCTTGTTATGGCTTGTAGGCTCCAGTACACTGCTGTGTCGATGCATAGGAGGGCTCAAATCTGAGTCTTAAATAAAAAAGGTTTTGGTTCCAGCACAGCATGTTAGTAAAATATCTACTGACAAGTCAGAAAAAATTGTTCCACATGGCCTGTAAAACATATGTTAAAACTTATGCATCATAGAGCAGCTTTAAATTATTCATTTTTAATTCCTTCAGCCTTGAAGGGCCTTTAAACACTGACTACTGAGAAACAATCCTGCCACTGAGGGAACAGCTATAAAATAAAAAGCTGGCTACTTAAAAATATAGAGAAAATTGCTTTACCTAGGCACAGTTTCTGAATTTTAAAATATGAATAAAGGGCTGGATCCCCACTTGGTGAAAGCTGATACAGCTCCTTTGAAGTCTGCATAGCTATCCCTCATCAGCAGTTGAAAGCCCTGGCCCAGAGTTTAGAGTAGATATAGTTTCTCTACATAAGAAGACAAGCAAGATTTGCATGGTTGGTTCAAACTATTCCATATTCACTGAGCTGTTGAGGAAATACTGTCTGTGAAACAAACCCTGGATTCTTTCCCAAAATCATCTAAATGACACTTGTTAGGGAAATGCTGCAGCATAAGGGGAAGTGGATCCAACACACTGGGTTGGACCTGCTGTAATTACGATGGCATTATCGGAGTGCACTTGTTACCTGCACACTCACTGGGGTGCATCAGGGAAGCTGAGAGCATCTGAAGGAATTAACTAAGTGTAACACTGATACAATAAAGAGAAATGGGTTCCACACTTGCTGTTTCAGGAGGATTCAATCTTGTTCTCTGCTCTTGGTTCAGCCAGGTGCTACCAGAGACCTGAGGAACTTCTCCATGTTCTGTACTTCTCCATGCTACACCCATATCACTGTGGCATACCTCCCTGAGGCATTTCTGGCACACTTCTCTTCTGCCTTGCCCTACAGAAAGGAGCCTCTCTGACCAAACCCAGCCACTGCAGAGCTCACTTCTGTATCTCCTCCTTGCACTTGTAACTTGCTGGAGGAACATGCCATATCCTATCCCTTGTGTGCTCCAGAGAAACGGTGCAGAGATAGGACTGAAAATGCAGGTGGGAAAAAAAAATAGTATTGTCTCTTGCTGCTTTTCTTCAGTCATGGAATCATAGAATGGCTGCAAGGGGCCGTAAGGATTCACTAGGCTGCTCAGGGCCTCATCCAGCCTGGGCTTGGACACTTACAGACATGGGACATCCACAGCTTCTCTGGACAACCTCTTCCAGTGTCATCTTGATTAACTATCATTAATTAGGACATTCTTGACTGCAGGGTTAAGCTTTCCACAACCTATCAAAACTTTGTATGCTGTATGATGATAAATCACCTGTTTACTCCATTCATTCTTTTTCTCTGTTGAACTCATGGATGGACCAAGTGTGGTACAGCAGGCAGTGAAATGCAGAGTGCTTAGGCTCTTCCTTCCCTAAGCAATGTCGCTTTCATAGAATATGCTTTGGAGTCCTCATCAACCTTTCACTCCCTCAATCCCCTCAAAAATTCTTGGGAGAAATCTCCAAACCTGATGCACAACCCTATTACCGGTGAGCTGTTCCCCAGAGATTTTTTTTCATAAAATAGACCCACTCACTCACTGTTATTGTTAAGGAAACAAAGGACCACATTCAACTAATTTGCCTGAAGGTATGAGAGTATCAAGCCAAGAAGGTAACAGAAACTTTCGCAGATGATCAAATTGGAGCTCCTCGAGGGCCTTATCCCACCTCCTGCAAAGTGTCAAGCAGCTCCTGGGAAGAAGCAGTGAAGAGCTATTTAATAGGCTGTTTCCACCACATGGTAATTCCTTGTGTTGATACATTCCTTGCAAAAGAAGACTAATGTTTTGGGGTTTTTTCCAATGCTCATTGCTTTATATTAAATCTGTTCCAAGCCCTGTTTATGAAGGATATAATATTATGCTGCTCTTCAGTATCTAAAGTCCAGATTTAGTGATGGGGTGTGTCCCTGAAAGGGTTTGTATGGGCTTATGCTCCCTAAGCAGAAAGCTCAGGCTGTCACAGGTACTCTCACCCGAATGCAAATGTCTGCACAGCGCAGCACATGATGTGACACTGGTCTGAATTCACACTTTAGCTTTTACTAATATAACTCTATGGAAACAAGCTCAGTGATGATTGATGACTTACAGCTCCTACATAGCACGTTACAGTTTCCAGTGGAAGTATGTTGTGCTGAATGTAATAAACCAACAGTCTTGGTAACTAGATTAATAACCTGTAAACTTATCTGCTTCACAAAGGGAGTTATGCACTGGCTGTCCAGCACTAAGGAACATGTTTTTAAGAGCTCAGGAATACATTCTCCTCTCTGTATGTGCGCTCTGTATGTTCACTGTAACACTGTAACAGTGCCTGTAACGCTGCCTACAGAAGGGCGGAGGAGAGAAGATCAGAGATCATTTGTTTCTTTGGAGGTGCTATAACCCCCCTGCTTCTAGTCTTGGCTCCAGTCTTTACACGTTGCCACTGAAAAAGCCAGCATTATGTTGTTAAATAGTTTTAGCAGATACTTTATCATTTTAATGTATCTGTCTGGGGGATTCTTTAATGATGCTGTATTCTTTATAATTCTACAGTTTTTTGTAGTCACCTTAAAAAGTGTGTGGTGCTGGACTGAAAGAAGAGGTCTGAGGCACCTCTCCAGAGAAGACAGAGAGAGTTAGGGTTGCTCAGCCTGGAGGACAGAAGCCTCTGGGGAGACCTTATATCACCTTCCAACACCTAAAGGGACTTCAAGAGAGCTGGAGAGAGATTTTTTCCAAGGAAATGTAGTGATAGGACAAGGGGGAATGGCTTTAAACTGAAAGAGGGTAGGTGTAGATTAGATATTCAGAAGACTTTCTTTCCTGTGAGGGTGATGATGGAACAGGTTGCCCAGAGAAGTTGTGGATGCCTCATTCCTGGAAGTGTTCAAGTCCAGGCTGGATCGGTCTCTGAGCAAACTGATCTAGTGGAAAACGGCAGCGGGTTTGAAACTTAAAGATTTTTAAGAGGCCTTCCAACCCAGACCCTTCTATGATTCTGGACTATGTGCTATATTTTATTAATGACACAATGCACATTTTCTCCTGCGAGAAGTGCAGAATTTCTTTTCACTTTCCCTGCTGCGATCACCTTTGAGATCCACGCAGCCCAATTTCACACGTGGCAGTTTGAAGGGCTGGGGGTGGGGGAACACAGACATTCCTGGGTGGTGATCCTCTAGGGAGGACCCGCCGGGAGCAAAATTTCATCCCCGCGCCTCGCAGAGGTGAGTCCGGGTTCGCACTGAACCTCTCCGCCGCGAAACCCCGCTCGGAGGCCTGAGGACGGGGGGAGGGACGGTAGGGGTGGTGACGGGGTGGGGGGAGGTAATTGGGGAGGGGGTCATGGGAGGATGACATGGGGGGTGGTGGTGAGTGGGGTGAGATGGGCTGAGGAGAGACGATGAAAGTAGATGATGGAGGTGGATGATGGAGGGGAGTGACGGAGGGAGGTGATGGAGGGGGGTGATGGAGGGAGGTGATGGAGGGGGGTGATGGAGAGGTTGATCGGGGGGTCCGCCTCTCTCCGCCCGGCCCCGAGGAGGAGCCGGCGGGGCCCCGCGCCGTCCACGTGGCCGAGGGCGCGCTATATGAGCAGGCAGGAAGCGAAGGGGAGGGACGGGGTTCCCGGAGCGGCTCGGCGAGCAGCGCCGGCAGACAGACAAGACAGCGCGGCGGCAGCAGCAGCGACAGCAGCGACCGCTCTCCCGTCCCCTCCCCGGCCATGGGGCTCGGCCGCCCGCCCGCCCCCCGCGCCCCGCCGTGAGTACCGCGGGACCCCCTCCCTCCCTCCCCGCCGCCCTCCTCCCTCGCCTTCCTCCCCTCTTACCTGCAAACCCTCCGCTCCCCACTGCTGCAGAAGGCGCGGTGGGAGCCTCCCAGACTCCCTGCTCCTCGTTCGGCTGTTGTCGGGTTTTTTTTAATTATGTCTATTATTTAGAAGCGGGGGTCGCCCCGGCGCTGGCGGAGCTCGCAGCATCGTCCAGTGGGTGCCCTGGCGCTCCAGAGCGGGGAGGCTTCACCCCATCCAGCCGGGATTTCCCCGCTGGAGGGAGGCAGAGGGGAGGCGGCGGGTGCCAGTGCGGGCTCTGGAGCAAGGGGCACCTTCGGGCCATGCTCGGAAGGCAACAGCGGCGAGGGATACCCCCTCTCCCTCCCCCCCACCCAAGGCTGCCCTGTGGGGGACCAGTCCTGCCCCACGTCGCCACCGGGTGGGAGCAGCGGAAGGGACCATCCCGGCAGAGTCCTGCACCCTGATTTCTTTTCTATTTTCTTTCATTTTGTTTTATTTTTTTTTCCTCCTGGATAGGCTGTGTGCCGAGCGAGGAAAGCCAGCGTTACTCCGTTAGAGAGCAAAAATCAGACTAGCTGTCTTAGGTATCCGTTCGCACCTCCCTCCTTGCAGAATTAATTTCCAGTGGAGTATAAATAACTAATCTTCGAGGTCAGCAGTTTGTTTCTATTGCACTTGATATATTTATCTCTTCAACAAACATACATCTCAGGTCCTTACTGTGGTTGCGTGTAGTCTTGGCATAAATGAAAACAAACTACTTCACTCATTTGAGGCACACAAGATTTTTCAACTCTTTGTAGCGGTTGGGCTTGTATGTATCCAATACATTGGAATAACTCATCCATATAATTGTAAGTCTGAATTATATATTTGCCCGCTGGGCACATATGTTAAAGGAAAAGCCTCCCTAATTATGGATCTTTCAGGGAGATTGGAAGGGTGACAAAGCCCTTGTAATCTTTTGGGTCAATTTTCATAAGCTCCAAAAGCTCTCTTTGAAAAGGAAATTAAATTTCAGTGTGCAAAAGGGACAGGAGATTCAAGGATATAAAAAGGAAAGTCTCTTATTCTACTTTGATCTTGTCCTCAGGAGTTCATTTACTTTGGTGCTCTTCAGTGGCACAAGTTAAAATGAAGAGTCTCCTTTAACTGGAGTCTTCCTGCCTCTTGGCCTTTCGGAAGGTACTCAATTAGCAGCACGCTCCTCCTGTATATTATTTACACGGCTTTAGCTGGAGGGGTGGCTCTGTGTGAAGCATCTGCTTGGAAATACTTAGATTATTACATCCATAGCATCCTGTGCCATCCATGCCAGCCAGCACCTTCCGCAGTCTGTATGTTCACCCCTCCTCAGTTTTTCTGTCTCCATCCAAAGCCAGCAGTGCTCTACCCACTGTTCACAATGCCTCGACAGAGTTGCTCTTCTGTTAGAAGAAGCTGGGGCTGGCCTTGTGTTCCCTTTCCTGCTTTTGGAAACGGCAGGATCGTTACCTGCAGGGCACGTCTGTTTGGGCCGTGGCCGTGGCCAGGGTGAGGGGGGAATAGCTGTGTGTGAATAGAAAGGGTGAATTTGTTCATCAGTTAAAGGCACTTGTTTTCTTGATTATCCTGGAAACAACAAATCCCCACCATAGATCTATGGTGAACTTGGCACTTTGTTCCTCTGCCAATTTCTCACTTCAGTTACTCTATTTTGGTGCTGCTGTAGGGCAACATTTCAGTGGCAGGAGGTTGATATCCTGTGCCTCAAGAAAGTCCCAGTCTAAGGTCCTGCCAAACTGGCTTTAAAGCTAACACAAAGTTTTTAAAGTACAGTTGTGCTAATATACATTTATTTTACCTTTCTGCTAGTAATGTGTAAGAGCATAGTGTCTGAAAGGGCAAAAGAAGAGAAAAATCCAACTTCTTATACTTTTGGCTCACTCAGTGTACAGTCTGATTGTGCAGAAGAGGCACTGAGTTGCCCTGTTTGTATGAATTTTTCACACATCCCAGCCAGAAAGGAGCTTGCAGCCTTTTTTCGCAGTTTTTCTTTCAAACTTGATAATACTAATAATGGTGATGGCATCTCAATTGAAGACTGTTGCTTTTAAAACTAAATATACTTTAGTATCTGCTAATCAATTTGCTTTTTTGTTTATGTAAAACTGGAAGTAACTTGAGGGGAAATTAGGGTCATGCAGATGGCAGTTCCATCTTCTAAGTTATAAATACATCTTTTGTGTTAAGTGCATTGCAAATCCTGCTGTTAAATGATAGCAGAAATACATTTTTATTAGGATCATCTTTTAGAAGTATTTTCAAGAGCATGGTGAAGCAGAAATGTGCTTTTAAAAGCAAAGGAGTAAGAGCAAGCTCAGCTCCAGAGCATATTTCTAGTGCTGTTAATCCCACCACCTGGTGGAGCTTTTCATGGCTCTAGCTGAGGGAACTCTGAATAAGGATGCATTTTTTGTCTTTTTTCAACACTGTCACATGCCACTTGTAGAATTTCTTTAACTTTTTCCTTTCTCATACCAAACTTTAAGAATTTTTAGTATCTTCTGTGTTTTCTTTACTTTGCAGAAGGCAGCATAGGACTATTGGTGTCTTATCTGAAGCAACACCCCTTTGTAGATAGATGAACTGGTGAAGTGGGGGATAAAGTTTCCACCTAGGAGTACTTCTTAAGCAGAAGAATTATTTTTAATAACCAGCGCTTTTTCCAAGGTACTCTGATAAAATCAGTGCAAGCCCAGGTAGCTTGGTACTAGTAATTTTTATATTTTTATATAAATATTACTATAAAATACTCTCACATACTTTTATTTACTCTAAAATATTTGCTAAACGGCATCTGTATAATTAAGCTTGCAAGAAGAGGAAAAAGGCGCATTTTTAACTGATAAGAGATTGCTCATATAGGTTGTTAAAACATGGGTGGGAATTCCAGTGAATACGGTGAAGTGCCACAAACATACCTTTGCCTCTCTCTGACATGATCTTGCTTAACTTCATCAAAGCCTGTCCGTCATGTTTATGGTGTCTCATAACCGATAAACAGCAATCTAAGTCAGAGGTATGCAAACTAAAAATAAACTCTAGGGCTAATTATCAGCTTCTTGACCCACACAGATATTTCCTGAGAACTATGACTACTGCAAGAGAAGACACAAACTTGCAGACAAATTGCTGCTGTAAAGATTTGTATCGCTCTTATTGCCATAGTGCCAGTGGCAGCAGACAGCTCCTGTCAGCCTCTTCAGCCCTGGCAGGCATGGTACACCTGGTCCCTCTGGTGGGAACAACAAATGCCTTTGCAGCCCATCTAGAGCAGGTCTGCATCCCTCTCTGGGCTAGTTTGGTGCTTGAGGATTGATTCATTGCCCAGTAGGTATCTGCTCTGTATTGCCCAAAAGGTATCTGCTCCAGGGAGCTGGGAATCTCCTACCGGGCTTCAGGGATCTTAGCTTCTTAACCATAACCACTAAGTGCTATTTGAACTGCCCTGAACTATCTGCCCTTGTCTTCTGGAGCCAGTACAGAAGGATGTGAGTCTTTGACTCCTCATGTTGTACTTGAGACTCCAGAAAGGTGGATTTGATGTCTGGGGTATCTCCAGTGGTGCCTAAAACATGTGTCTGACAACTGAATTGACCCTGAGGGAACTATATTTGCTTTCTGGGCACTAATATTTAACTTACAAAGTAGATAACATTATCAATATAAGTGGTCTCTATTTAGGATGTAAGTTGGTTAATTGTTCAAAGTTACCCCTTCATGTGACTCCTCTTGTTCTGATAAGGGCTCTGTGCCATGCTGGCATGCATTCACAGCAGCCACAGAGAAACTGCTGTCACCCTTTTGGTCATCTTTCCCACTCTTACTCCATCCTGCACTTCACACTAGTGCCAAGTGTCTCATACTCTGGTTTGTAAGTAGCAAACTCAAGTCACTTTGTGGAAAATGTCCTACAAAGCTTGAAAAGCTCCTGTACGTCAGGGCTGTGAAATAGCCGTGGATTGTGGAAAACAGGGGGCTTTGGGGGGCAGGAAGCTCTTTTTAAAAGAAACTCCCAATAATATGAGTAGAATATGTTCTGAAGCATGAGTTAAGATTAGGGATGTCATCAATTGTAAAGACTGTAGTAATTGTTAAAATGCAATTCTGGGGGGAAAGGAGGGTGGAAAGCAATTTGTTCCGGGCTTTGCTGCTCTTTGAAGTGCTTGTGATTAAGTTGCTTCATCTGGACTAACGTGCACATCCTTTCTCAGGGAGAAGATGACTTGTGCCCTGTGTATGAGATGGCAAAACCTTTGGTCAAAGAGGAGTTGTACTATTTCAGGAAATCTGTTAATCTCTCAAACCACAATGTTTCCATTGGCCGATCCCACGGCTATTTCTGTCAGACAATCTCAAGGTATCTCAGAGTGCCAGAGATACAATGTAAATAGTTACAAATACTTGGAGTGTAGCTTTCCTGCTCTGAGGACATGATCTCAATAAAGCCATTGGGGTTTTTTTTGTTTTTTTTTGTAGTAGCTTTTCCGTCTCTGTAAGTCCTTTCTCCCAGCAGTAGTTTTTCAATGCAGGCTCAGTATTCTGTAGCTTTCCATCCCAAAGGGTTTGAGTGGAGGATAAGCAGTGAGAGACTGGTTGGAGCCCACAGTGTCCAACCACAATACTTTCCGGCGCCTGACACGGGACTGCTGCTGCCATGGAGGTGACCTCACTTACTCTTGGTATCCCCAAAACTCTCCTGAAATGGATCACTCCTTATCCAACCCTTTGGGGGGTTGTTCTGCAGAGTAAAAATTGGCACAGTGACACTGAGGTATTAAATCTGATGCAATTTTAAAATGTCTCTAGACTAGATAATTGCTACTGACATTTTCCCAGGATCAGTGGATTTTTAGGGTTTTTTTCCTTTTGTTTTTAGAGTTGCGGTACACCAACACAAAACAAAGGTTGTTCCTTTTAAAGGGCACTACATTATTTCTGGAGGCTGGATCTTCGATCAATGACTTAATCTTACTTACCTGAAATACTGTGTGTGCTGACACATCACAGTGCTGTACCAGCTCGAAAAAGAGATCTAATTCTATCAAATCTGCCAGCTCAGTTAATATGACCCTGCCAGGGAAGCATAAGGCATCACCTCTAGGATTTTTAGGTTGGAATCAGATTCCCACACTTCAGCTCAAATTCAAAGCACACTGCATGTGGCCAGATTCAGATTTTTTTTTTTTTTTAAGGTACCTG